AAAGAAAAAAAAAAAAAAAAAAAGTTTACTTATGCATGAAAAAATTTATGGAGTTCGGACATTAAATTTATTTATACTTTTTCTAACATTAAAAATTATCTTTAGGTGACGCAATTAGAATCACTCGTATCATCATTACAAGCCATTCTTAATGATCAAACCTTTGCCATGCATGATTTGAGATCCCAATTGTCAGAGTTTGTATTATCTTATTTATATTCTAAATTTCCTTGTTTTAAAATTTTATAACTAAAAAAAAAAAATTGTCTTATATTTTTTTAGTATTCAAGTTGTCCTCAAAAAAATGCAAGATAAACAAGAAACCATATCTAGTGAAGAGATAATGAAACAAGTGGTCACTATGAAGGTATAATAATACATAAATTTATTAAAATAATTCCTTATATATGTAATAATATTTACGTAATATGTTTATATAATTTTATTGTGTATAGGCTCTTACTGAAAACATTATAGCATCAAGTGAGATCAAAAAACAACTAGATGCTACTAAACAACAACTAGAGGCCTCATCGGAAAATGATAAGAATGGAAAAGTATTACAACAATTATCAGCTGAAGAACATCAATTCTCTCCTCCAATGTCAATTCTACCAATCAATACGATTACTAGAACAGCGTCAAGACAACAATTCAATACTTCTCGTACACCTTCAAGAAATCCTTCAAGAAATCCTTCAAGAAATCCTTCAAGACCTTCTTCAAGGCCTTCTTCAAGACCTTCATCTAGAGCCGTATCTCGTACAGTTTCACCGGCTCAAACCCCAATTTCTTTATCACGTACATCATCAAGGAATAAACTTGATTCATCTAATGAATCTCCTTTGATAAAACCTTATAAAGTTAATGAATTCCCGACTATCAATGAAAAAAGTGAAGGTGATGACGAAGACGATGATGAATGTAAGGATACTACTTTGGACCGTATGATTAGCAATATAACATCTTTAATCAGTGAAGCCACGGAAGCCGTTGAACTCCCAATTAAAGGTCATGAGAAAGATCGTACATTTTCAATTATTAGCACATCATCTATTGATTTTGATGAGATTAACAGACAATTAGATGATTTGGATGATGAAGAAGATGAAGATGATGAAGAGGAATTCGAAGAACCAATTGTAATGGATCGAAGTTTAAAACCTGAAGATGCTGAAGAAAGATGGCCAACAAGGAAACATAAACGTACACGTACAAAAAGCGATGCTAATCAAGAAGACTTTTTAAAAAGTTTAAGTAGTTTCAACGATAGTATGACAGGTTTAGCAGATCTCATTGAAGGTTTGACAACTGAACTTCCTGAAGACGAAGGTGACGCTCAAAGTGGAATTCAATACAGGGTGTCTACCAATGAATTGTTAAACAATCCAAGTTCAGATGTTCCAGATTTAGATGATTTTGCACAACAATGTCGTCTTCTTACACGTGCCCTTATTCTTCCTTTCTTACATGCCACTCATTCCTTCATGTCTGAATCACTTCAAACCACCACCAATATACAAACTCCTAAATCAGTAACTAGTACGACGAGAACTTTTATGAATTTGATGTACTGGACATTTTTATTCACTCTCGGGTCCTTGGTTTTAGATGCATGGTTATGTGAAGTAGCTGGACGTCAAGTAATTCGTATGGTTGAATTATTAAAACCTGGTCAACCTTTTGGAATTATCGCAAATGGATATGGTGGTTATGGTTCAATTGATATGAATCAACAGGATGGAGGAATTGGGATGCTGGAGGATGGTAAAAAAAAAAACGTCAAATTTCGTACCGGCCCTAAAATGAAGGCCGTAACGTGGAAAGGAGTAGAAAAGGAGGTGGTAGGAAATGAAAAGAAATGGTGGAAGAATGGAACTGAAGGTGTGTTAAGTTTGGGAAGGCGAGGTGGACGCTTTTTAACAGGTGGTTTTAGATCAACAGTTGGACGATTCGATGATGATGAATATAGTGAAGAAAGTGATGAATGGGAAATAGTAGATTTTGATACTAGCGATGATGATGAAAGTGTATCAGAGGAAGAAGGTAATGAAGGAGATCCTGCTATGTTGTTGCGACGGCGGATCACCAATGAAAGATTGAAACGTGCTGGACACTCGGCTCATGATAATTATTCAAAAAAGGAAGAAAAGGGAAATTCTGTTAACAATGACATGACCTCGATCAAAGATCAAGAATGTGATATACAAGATGAAAATTTATCTCGAACATTTAATAATTCTAAAAATAAGACATTCGTACAAGAACCAGAAAGTTATGAAATGGACGATGATTATTATATAGACGATGATGATTTAAACATACCCGGTTCGTTTCCTACAGCATTTAAATGGACTCCACAACAATCCACAACAGATGATAAATCAGATAGAGTACGACGTGTACGTAGCGTCTTACTCCGAAGACCAAGTCGTAGTGGATTTTTTGGTGGTAGTGGAGAGTTCTGGGTTACGAATACCCGTAAAGTTCGAACAATAAGTAATAGTAAAGACAAGGACATTACCAGAAGCTCTAATAAATCTAGTTCTATAACGAATAAAAGTACAAATAAGAGTTCAAAATCTCAAAAAAGAACTTGGGTAAGACGAAGTAGTATATAGAATAATAAATATATAATAATAATATAATTATAATAATAATAGTCTAATATTTTTTGGAACATTTTGGGGATGGCCGATTGTGCCATTTTTTTTTTGCCATCGAGGCTATTCTTGTATATTAACATTTTTTTTAAAAAAAAAAGAAAAAAAATTGGACAGTTTTCTTTTTTCTTCTTGTATAGTTTTTTTTGTCCCACCTTTTTCCTACAATACTGTTCTTGCGAATTTTTATTCTTTCATCAAACTTTCTATTTCCTACTATTTCTTTTTTTGCTCCTGACCACGTTTATAATATAACATTTTTTACTTTATTATTTTGTTTTTTTATATATATATATAAAGCTTTACCAATTCATTGAATCATATTTTTTTCTATAGCGCAAATATATTATTCTTTTTTTCATATTTTAGCTATTTTTTTTTATATATACATTTTTTTTTTATAGTGGAATTATGATAAAAATTTAAAAATTTCGAACTCCAAATTAGAAATTTTTTGGAGGGAGAAAATATTCTTATCATTTAAAAAAGTTATTGTAGTTTATATATTTTTCATTCAATAAATAAAGAATAAAAATCCTCTTTCGGTTTTGTAGTAATCTATACATAATTTGTTGGGTCAATTAGTAAATAATGTTATAGATAAGTAATTTCATAATTTCATTAACACGACGCTACAGGATACTGTATATTGGAATTTGTCACCTCTCGTCATATCTTCTTTTTAAAAAATTCTTGGGACTCCCGAAATTTTATTTTAGTAGAGTACCTATGTTGGATACTGTATATTGGAATTTGGTCACTTCGCGTCATATCTTCTTTCTAAAAAAATTCTTGGGACTCCCGAATTTTTTTTTTAGTAAAGTAACATCGAGTAACATCTTATCACGACGATCCATCCTATAGTTCTACCCGGTTGTGATTAGGGGGTTAGGGAGTAAAATTGAGCAACGAATTTCAAATATTACGATCAAAATTATAAAAGACTAATTCGGGACTCGGAGATTTTTATCGTATGTTTATGTTTTACAATTATATTCACATTTTGAAACTAACAAATCTACGGTTTTTTTTTTAAGCTTAAACAAAAATAGAACTAAAGATTTTCGTTAGAATAAAAAAAAACCGTGCACGAAAATCATTAAAAAAGCGACGGAAAAAGTTTAGATAATCATTAAAAAACGATGTAAAAAGCTGTTTATATTGTATGCAAGCAAAATACTCATCATTTATTGGAAGATCATATTATATTTACAAGGAAACCCATCAAATTTAGGGTGTCCAGGATGGGTTGTCGTGATGGTCTAAAAATCGCGTGTGATTTTCACGATTTTATCGCGAAAATCGCGATTATAATTTTGGCCGAAATTAACATAATTTCGACCAGAATTAACATTAAAAAACTTACAATTTTTATTTTTATTATTTTATTTACAATTTTTCGTCTTTACAAAAATTTCATCTATAAACTATTCCCTAACTAGCAAATTAATATCAATATTACCATTCAGATTAAAATAAAGAAAATTAAGCATTTTAATGCTTTCTTCTTTAAGTGCCACTCTTCTATCCGATAATATACTTTTGTAACTAAAAAAACTAAGTTCAATATCAACACCAGATACTGGTAACCATATATATCTCAAAGCTAATGAACTAAGTTCTGGTAATAAATGTGATTTACCTCGCCAATATACATCTAAATTTTCAAATTCTTCAACAGATTCATTTAATCCACAGTAAATACCCTATTCTTGTATTAAAATATCCATAGGAAATTGAAATTCTTCAATAATTCTATAGTCTCCCATATTATGATGTGCCGTATTGGACTGAATAAATCTTGGATCAAAGCATTGTATCGCTCTAAATAATGGTAAAGCTGGATGATTAGATATATGTTTTTCACACTTTTCATAAGCCAACACAAAAGCCTTAGAAAATAATGAGATAAATGGTTCTCTATCATAATTTCTTTCATTAAAAATTTGTTCTATTTCATTTGAAACTGGAGGATTCCATCTTCCTGATGAAAGAAAAGCTTGAAGGTTTATTATTCGTGAATAAACAAAGGGAGCTATAGCTTTGTTTCGTATTTTAAAGAATTCCAAATTATTAAACAATCTGAATAAAATTCAATAAATGATAAGTATAATAAAATTAATGAAGTTATAGCTAATAATTTATTTTCTTACCTGCCACAATTGTATGTAATAAAAAATATAAAAATTTCAACATATGAAACATGATCATGATGTTCACAAAAAGTCTGAAGATACCGGATAGCTTTTGAATCATGATTGATAGAATATTCTGTATTAATAAATGTAATTACATGAGGATATATAGGTTTGATCCAATATAAAAATGAAAACCAGGAGTTCCACCGCGTTTTCACAGGTAATGGAGCTAAAGTAGGAGATTCAACATTATTTCGCAGTAAATGCTC